AAAAAAAAAAAGGACGATGGATTATGTCCAAAACCATGACAATTGTCCTATCTCGTTATTAAATTTTATTACTTTGAAAGTATACACAAGTCAGCATAGGTGGTTTGGCCATCAATATGCAGAATGTAGGCTTTCCCCTCACAGTCACACAATCATATCCGCCCTCTTTTATGCTGGGTATGCTGTTTGTTATCTTTAATCATCCAACATATCATCACGATTCCACCACTTTAGGGATTTGACAACAGTGAAACTGCTGTGCTGTCGCCCTAAGTTCAGTTCTAAAAATTGGACTTAATGACGGAAGCATATCAATTTCATCAGGAATTTTAGAGTCACCTGAAGAGGACTAACATTGATCGAAACATATAGTGTGCACATATCGATGATGCAGAAGAGATTCTAACGTTCAAAACTTTTAAAGGTTTTCAAATACAAGTTGCATATGAGACATAATAACAACAGTGGTGTGCAACATGATGCTACGATATTATGATTAAAAAGTATTGTAAGTGGATAAATGAACCATAAAAAAGGCCATAAATGAAATAATGGATGGATCACTGTCCATAAGAGGAACTTCTCAAGTAATTTGTGTGACATACACTACGTTGAAAAAAAAAAAAGGGGTAACATGTACCGAGTTTCTTTCAGTTGGATTACGTCCACCCGTGGGAAAGTCTTCAATTCCGATCAAGCCCAAGTCCAAGTCACATTGCGACTGATTATCAGTCAGTCAGTAAGTCTTGGTGTCGAGCCCCAGATATATTTATTACTTTTTGGCATTTACGGTCTTGTTTTTGTGGGGCGCCCTCTCTAACGAGAGGACGGGTCTGCCTTTTGTATATGATGCTGGCCCTTGCCAGTGCAGTCTTTGTCGGGTCTGAGTCCCTTGGAACTCGCGACCATATTTTACTGTCTCAGAATTGAGACTTCCATTTTCGTCGCCTCTTACGACTCGCAGGGTCACGGTGGAGGTATTCGACCCCGCCTCCAAACGGGGGAATTCCGATCAAGAAACTCTTTGAGTAAATGAGTCATGTTACCTGGAGCTCGAAGAGTGAAGACGTGAACACATAAGCTGGTGATTCGTTACCAGGATACGCCTAGATAAAACATTATACAGGTGTAACCATTGTTAAGAGCGATAACCTAGCAACGAATAGTGAAAGCGGACTGAGAAGACTTATTGTTGTGTTAGAATATAATAATTAATTTTTTTTCCTACTGAAACTGCAGAAAAAATGATAAACTACCTTTCTGTTAGGCGTTCGGCATGTGGACAGCACCGAAACTGGGTCGTAATATAGACCCACAGCAATTCACAGGCCCAGTACCACCATACCAATTCCAGCAAACCAGCTACAATATAATACTTTTGGAATCGGCTTTTACATTTGAAAGGACTGGTTTGGACCAATCGGCTGACCAGGTTAGACGGCAGCGTATTAGTTGGCGGAAGCAGACTCAAATAACGTTAGGGAGGGGAGAAGGACATTGCAGGAGTCGATCGCTTTCGAGCCTTTATGAGATTAATAAAATCTGGGGCTTTTTCTTGCATGAGCGGAGAGACTGAACAAGGAGGGAGTAAATAGCCTATTTTAGCTTGTTGGTCACTTACTAGAAAATAATGTACTGTTAGATAAACCCCAAAAGATTAACGACATGGACGAGTCAGGATTCGCTGACATGTCCTTTACGTGTGGAAAATTGGGGTACGCGGTAGCGTAGTTGGTTGAAGCACTATGCTGCATGCCGGAAGGTCGCGGGTTCAAGTCCCGATGAGGTCATTGGATTTTTTTCTCAATTGACGCAATCCTTCCAGCCGCACTATGGCCCTGGGGTCGACTCGGCCTCAGAAATGAGTACCAGGAATATTCTTGGGGGCAAAGGGCGGCCGGCGCGTAAGGCTGACAACCTTGCCGCCATCTATGAGCCTCAACATCTCACAACCTTAGGGGCCTCCGCGGCGTGTTACAGGGATACCTTTACTTTAGTTACATGTGGAAAATTTGTTTGAAATTATCGTACTCTATTGTAATCAGGACTGTACCACTGCAGTACAATC